TGGCGCGATGTCGCACGCGGGGCCCACTAGCGCGTCGAGTTACGATTCTCTTGTCACGTACCCGCTGGCCGCTTGGCAGCGTCTCTGCATCTCTCCCTAACCAAGGCTGGCTTATGCCTGGAGCGCAGACGTCCAGAGTCACGGAGAGAGTGCCGCTCCACGAGAGTAACCCGCTGCGACTACTGCCACTGTCACTTTTCTGCGATCCATGCCTAACCCTTCGTTGGGGGAAGGGACGCGGGGCGCTGCTGTGTGGCCCAGCTCAACTGCGATAGCAACAGGTGTTGCACTAGCTAGTTACTACGCGTAACCGCGAAGTGGATTTTTTAGCTGGCTCCTCCAGCAGGCATGTTGCCATGGCTCGAAGACAAATCCTGACTCTCTAATCCTGCCCGCTGTGCTACAATCAGCCCACGATTGTTTCCACAGGTCTAGGGCAGAAGTAGCCGCACCTCGTGGTCCCTCATGAGCAACACTATGATTACCAGCAAGCACGAACACGTAAGCGCTGTGTAATGCAGCACGATTGTCTACGATGAGTATTGCATTACAATTCACAAACCTGCTGCATCGTATCGACGCCCAGCTCTCGACGGCTACCGGCCAATGAGTCGTTAGAACTCATCATCTCTCGTTCCGGTAATGCGCCTACTTAAAAAAATCACTTTAAGCAAGTCTTGCAAAAGCTAGTTCAAATGCCTCACAAATAAAAAAAACCGAAAAAAAACAGAGCGACGTGAGAGACAGAGAAGTGAGGTGCACTCTGGGCCTCTATGCTTCCCGTGCTGTTCCATATCTACAGGAACTCTCACTTCTCTGCACTCTAGCTTGCCCGAGTTAATTAGAGATTGAAGTGCTATGAATGATCTCACATGTGAATCCGGCAGACCAGCGCTTCCTACCATAACATCTCGTTGATGCGGGTGACGGTAGATGAAGTGGATCGCTCTGAAAGACTTGAATATAGCTCTCCTTAGAAGTTTCGCATTTTCAAAAGGCGAGAATGGCCGGAATAAGGCTACGCCTCTCACTGGAAGATACAGTCAAACTAAAGAAAAGGCTTTTCAGAAGTAGTCAAAAAACGTAACGATAGGGTTGGTATACTGAATAAAGTGGTAAAAAAGGCTGTAGTTACATAGGAACCGTTTCCTCGAACTGATAGGAAAAAATCATCTTGCAATCAACAGAAGTTTTTCGTTTCACGGACACCGGAGGCTACTAGTCAAAGTGCTAACACAGCTGGAGGTAGAGAGAAGGGTAAGGGCGTGTTCATACTTTGCTACCATCCGCGCAACTTGTAATGCGCGTGACCGCGACTGACCGCGCTCCATCGCTGATCGTTGGACCGCTGCGACCACTTTGGTCAGAGCCAGAACAAAACTTTTCAGAACTTTAGGGAACTACCAGCGCACACAAAGTAAGTACTTTTTCTATATATTTTGTCCATTCGAGTCCGCAAAACATGACAAAGAGCTAAAGCCTTTACTACCTCCCAGTTCATGAATCAGATAGACAGAATAAAATAATATGGAGGGTTGCAACAAAAAACGAGAAAAAATATTCACTAGGGTTAAACCGTTCTATATTAGATCCTGACCCATAAATGTATTTCCTAAGAAGTTTCCGATTCCAAGTAACGAACATGCAGTCAATATTCCTCGCTTCTCATTCTGAAAAAAAACTCCCCAATAAAAAATGAAAGCTGAGCACATTCATCGAAACCATCATTATTGGCAAGATCATCGATTATGGCAATTCCATCCCTTGATCATCCCACATCTCGTTTTGAATCGATTCGCATCATCTCGCCCGTTTGAAACCTCTTTTAGGAGACTTCGTGTAGGTTTTTATGGGTTACTGTTTGGTGAAGGTGGGGCATTTTAGTACATGACACTCGAGGTATTCAAAACCAATACTCCTCAGAAAACACAAGAACTTTTCTTGCGCAAAAGGGATGATTCATCAACTCCAGGGCTCCCAAACAAACCAACTCTTTTGTGCAAAATATCACACTCATTTTGTCGTTATTACTCCTAATATTATTACTCCTATTAATATCTTACTATCAT